CGGGACTCACAGGGGCTCCGGGATTGGGCACTCCGACCCTCGTCAGTGCCGCCCCCGGGCTGGGAAACCCCGGGCTGGGAAACCCCGGACTGGGAACGCCCGGGTTGGCAGCTTCCGGACTAGGCGCTCCTGGTGGGCTGCATGGCATGCTCGGGGGCGCAGGAGCGGTTCCGGGGATGGGTTTGCTGCCTCAGGCCTCGGGCCCGAACGCAGCTGCGGGCATGAGCATGCCCACATTGATCATGCCCAACGTGCTGCAGTCCGGGCAGAGGCCGTCCGGCTGGTCCACCGCGCCGCGACTGCCCTTGAACAACATAGTCAGCGGTTCGAAGACGGGCGATGCCCCGCCACCGCCGCCACCGCTGCCCGACCACGTCGTAGCCCCGCAGCCGCCGGGCGGGGTGCTCGTGTACGACGACGACCTCGTCTCACCCGAAGAAAAGCGCGCCGTCATGTACAACTACCGACAGAGTGTCGTACTCGACACTACAAAAGCATTCTAACATACATTTTACACCGAACATACCCATTCCAACCATTAGAACTTCAACCACCATGAGAACTCTGACCACTTCTGCACACCCCTCAGTGTGTGCGATCAAATCCGTCCCCCTCAGTGTGGGATCAGATACACTCAGCAGGATTCCCAACTCAGCTGCTTGAGTTGGTTTTTCCTTTTACATGTTGTTTACAGCGATCGCAAGAGATGTGGTGATCCTCGTGGAATGGTCCGACACGAAGGGGAACTTCTCGGCGGTGATAAGGTCTATCTTGCCGTCTCTGGTGGCATCTAGTAAAACTGGCCCGGTAGTAGGGGCCCGCCAGGAAGGCAAGTCGAGTGTGGCCGTTCTGGGGAGTGCGGGAATGTCTACGACTAGTATCTCTACGACTAGTATGGCTACGACTAGTATGTCTACGGCTGGTGCGACGGGTACAACGCGAAAAGACGCGTCTTTGGTATCTTACTTGTACGACAGTCAGTATGTCTTTCACATATACGAAGAATTCGATTTGCCGAGTATTCGTTATATCTGTTTAGGGGATAAGTCGCGTGGCGTACGGCTGCCCTATCGCTACCTGATGGGCCTGGCGGCAGAGTTCAAGACGCGTTACGGGTCCCGGACTCCTTACGAAGCCTTGCCTCTGTCGCTGACCCGGCAATTCGCGCCCACCATTGCGCGATTGAATAAGCATTACTCTCAAGTTTACGCCGCCAACGACTACTACAAATACAACACTAGTGCAATGTCCACCATTGCCCGGGCATCTTCGCCCAACAAGGCGGCATCCCCCCAGAGAACAATGGCCGACCATAATGCAGGAAATAAAAACGGCAAAAACGTGATCATTCTTGAAGACCAATCGCGCCGGCCTAATCTCGCTGGACCCCGTCCCGACTCCCTGGACCAACCCCTACTCGAACAACCTTTACTCGAAGAAAGCTTATTTGAAGAACCCTCGCCGAATCAGTCACGATTCAAAGATCCGCTGCGTGAAAGCACCAGTCCAGCCAACACCGCCGACGGCACCACCGTTGGGAGCGCTGAACAGGTACTCGAACGAAAGATCGACGAGATCAATAATGTCCTAATTCAGTCTTTAGACAAGATCATCAACCGCAAGGAACGAATCGATCTTCTCGTCGAAAAGACTTCTAATATCCAACGTGCTTCAACCAATTTCGCTCGCTATTCAACCAAGAGTAACCAACACGACCCGTCACCAAAACACAGAGCATGCTGCGTCATCAACATGACAATCTCCTTGACCTACATAACCAACATGTCCTTAGGATCCAATTTGGGACCCGTCCGACGGATCCAGGACTGGCTGGCCAGACGTAGACTGCTCTTCGGGTCCATGGTATTGATCGGGGGCATTAGCTTGCTAGTATTCACAATAGAAACGAAATAAAGCTTTTTAAAAAAACATGGACCAAGCACAACATAGATTGCTACTAACTCCTAACAAGTGAGGCACAGATCAAGACTCCTCGCGGTTGTATCGGAGCAGGGCTTTGGCAGCGCGCGCGCACACACGTGTGTGCGCCGTCGGAAAGCGCTTTGTTTGCAGGGAAGATTTGGTGTCTGAAGGTTCATGGACTACAGATGAAGGAACGACAACGGCGGGGAGTACTACGGGTGCCGGACGAGTGCGCAAGATGCAGTGGCGAGATGGTACCATATATGTTGGAGAGGTAGACGAGGAATACAGACCGCATGGTGAGGGACATCTACTACGGCCTAACGGAGTGGAATACGACGGACAGTGGGTACATGGACATGCAGAAGGCCACGGAGTTTTTCAGTCCGAGGAATGGGGTCGTTATGAAGGAGATTGGGAAGGTGATATGATCCAAGGGGTGGGTAAGCTGGTCTTTGCTGATGGAGCGGTGTATGATGGCAACTGGCTCAACGACCGGCCGGAAGGTTATGGTATATTCATTAACCCGAACAACATCATGTTTCGTGGTCAGTGGCGTAGGGGAGTTTTCCAGCCGGACCTTTCCGGATACGATCCGCGCGGTATCCAGACTTGCGTCCATGAGGGTCAAATCAATAATCGACAAAATGGTCTGCAGTCGTCAGCCATCCGAGAAAGCGCCACTGCTATCGAGAGCGGGGTGGTCGTGGACATTTCAGGTCGGATCGATAACTTACATGAGTACCAGCCGAACAGAACTCCAGGCTCAGGACCCCACTCGCTAACCCAGATGCCCAACCCTAGAGTTGCGGTCTGCAAAGGTACATACAATCCTGCTTCGGGCTCGTATGCAAACCAAACCGAAATGTTTGACTCACCTGTTTATGTAAGACCCATTATGACCACCCGTTACACTGTGCCTGCTACCTGTCCCGACCGTTATCTGCTGCGGCCATTGCGCTGCGCTCCTGTGTTATGTAACGTTGCTCGTTGAAGTTCTCTTTTTTTCAGCCAGATGACCCTGAGAAGACGGGAGCGAGGACCAGCAGCGGTTACTGGTACAAGACCAACTACTTTACTGAGGCTTGGACGGGTTCGGACCCGCCCTCTCGAGTACCGGAGGCGCGCCAGCAAGCAGAGGTGGTGGACGAGACGGACCCGTACGGAGCATATGTGAAGTCTTGTGATTATTACGTAAAGGGCAACGTTTACAACTCGAACTATGCTGTCCCCAACTATGCCGGTTACGACACCAAGCCGGCGAACGCGAGCTATGGCGGAGGCGACAGGACCGCCGCTGGAACGACCAGCCAGTCTACGTACTTTGCGCACACCGCAGCCTCCGAAACACAAAATGACTGGTATGAGCAGCAGGCGCAGCTCTCCAACTCCCTGCCGCCGAACGCCCAGTTGTCTGCGGCCCGACTCGAGAACGGTTCTGCGCAGTTCGACCGCTCTCAGTTCGACCCCTCTCATTTCGACCCCTCTCAGTTGGACCCCTCTCAGTTGGACCCCTCTCAGTTCGACCCCTCTCAGTTCGACCGCTCTCAGCTTGAACGGGCGCAGCTTGACCGGACCCAGCTTGACCGGGCGCAGTTCGAGCAGTCTTCCAAACTGCGCAGCAAAGGCAGCACGTCGCGAGGCGCGGAGTCGCGCGTCGACCGCCGACACACGGCGTCGATCGTCACGGAGGAAACGTCTGCGGACGAACCGATGGTGGCGGGCGTGACGCTGCCCAGTCTGGGTCATCCCAGTACAGAGCTTAGTCCTGAGCGGCCCGCGAGCGAGGTCGAGCGCCCGATGCCGATCGTGGATCCTGTCACCGAGTCGCCGCGGTCTATGACGTTGCCGTCTCTGGAACCGGAAGACGATATTGAGGACGACTTGGAGCCGGAAGACGACTTGGAGCCAGAAGACGACATGGAGCCAGAAGACGACTTGGAACCTGAAGACGACTTGGAGCCAGAGGACGTGCGGCCCGACCACTACCTGGCGGCCGAGGAGGAGGAACTGGTTGTTCCGGAAGAGGGCGAGGAGGTACCGGAGGAGTGCGCGGCACAGGACCTGAACAGTCTGCCCGCGACGGGACAGGTGCTGGAGAGCTACGCTCCGGCGACCGGCACCTGTTACACGTGTCCCGATCCGCCAGCGGTGCTCGAACTGCAGGCGGTCGACCGCAGTTACGGCCTGCCTCTCGTCCATGACGGGGCTCAGCCGGACGTGCGTCGCGGCGGTCCCGCTCTGCGCTACGGCGGTCCCGTGATTCGCGGCCCAGCGCCACCTGCGATGCTCGGAGGCTGCCGAGTCGCAGTGGGCACGCAGTCGTCGCAGACCGACCTGCTCGGCCCCGTCGGACGCGACCTGCCGGGACGAAGCGGCCTGCCGGGACGGTCGCTCGCGGGCCCGGCGAGCCACGGACCCGCCACGCCCTCCTGCGGTACGCCCCACTACGGCCAGTCGGACTACGGGCGGTCAGATGCTCCGGACTACGGGCGGTCGGATTCACCGGACTACGGACGATCAGATGCCCTGGGCGACTCAGAGGCCCGTGCCCCGAACGGCTCTGAGGCCCCGGGCGGCTCAGAGGCCCCCGGCTCGGAGGTCCCCGACGGCTTCCACGACGCCGCGGGCGCCGGCAGCTGTCCCTCGCCGCAGCGCTCCGAGTACTACGAGCCACTTAGCGAGCCAGCCGGCTACTCCGCCACCGGCCACGAAGGCTGCGACCCCACCTACTGCCCCTACAGTCCCCAGAGCACGGGCCGGGCGCCGGCTGCGACACTGCGAGACGTTCGGAGCTCGCCCGCCGGCAGGTTTGCCCCGGCGCTGTACCCCGGTTCTGGCTACCCGGCCGTGGGATGCAACGGACCCGTCGGGGGGTACAACGGCGCCGTCTCGGGTTACGGTAATGCAGCCGCAGGTTATAACGGGCCAGCTGGAGGGTACAACGGACCCGCGGGAGGGTATAGTGGACCTGTCGGGGGTTACAACGGACTCGCGGGAGGGTACAACGGACCCGCCGGAGGGTACAACGGACCTGCCGCAAGTTACAACGGATCTGCCGGGAGTTGTCATGGTACCGCTGGGGGTTACAACGGACCGGCCACGGCTTACGGACCCGTCGGGAGTTACAATGGACTCGTACAGAGCTACGGACCGGTGATGGTAGGCGGTACTTACGAGACGGTGCCTGGTCGGGGCCGTAGAACCGACTCCCACATGTATGCTGCGCCGCTGAACTACGGCCCTACCCCGCACAGACACCAGGTTTCCTACGAGCCCCCGAGACAGTACTTTGCGGGAGGCTATTCTCAACAGAGCCCCCGCCCCGCGCCGTCGCACCAACCTCAGGTCAGGCGTAGACCTTTGCCCCCGCAACAGAAGACCTTCCGCGACCTAATCAAACATCATGATCCAGCCCAGGTAAGATTGTGAACGCACACGCGTATGCACACACGGCAGACGCAACAATTCCCTTCCTTCCCACCTTCTCCGCGGTCTCGTCTGCGCGATTTTACTACTGCACAAAGCACTCCCACGGGATGGCGTAAGCACTTCCGGCACAAAGTTTTCGAACACATGCGCGAGCAAATTTAGCCCTGATGAAGGCTAGAACTAGCGAGGCTGCCACTACCACGCCCGCAAGTATGGACTGCACGATCGGCGAGAGCGGCAATGATGTCGAGTATCTGGGGGACGGAACATCTCCGTACGGAAGTTCTCCAGAGCGCACAGCGATGGGATCCGGAGCGCAGACGCCAGTGACTGAAGAGGGCACGGAAGGGCTGGCCGCCGGTGAAGGACAAGGGGTTGACACTGGGCCGGCTGATGGCGAGCAAGCGGCTTGTGGTGGGCAGGCAGCTGCGGAGAGGCGATCCGTGACGCGAGAAGTTGTAATCCCGGTGCCTGTGGAAGAGGTTCGTTCGATTGAATTCAAGTTGCCCAAGTTGAAGGTGAACAAGACCCAAGTCGGATATCCGGTGTATGCGCCGAGAATTATCGAGTATCCGATCCCTGCAGAAAATCTTAGTCAAGAAGCGTTATCTATATGCGACTCGATCAAAGAGTCAGTGGACGCCTTAACCCAGCCGCAGACTCCTGCCAGTAAGTGTATTAGAGGGGGCAGCAATAGTGTGTTGTTTATTTAGCTCTTGAATCCATCGCGGATTCTATCGTTGAAAGTTTGGAGGTGATGAAGAATTTTTTGTGAGAAGTGCGGTAGTTGTAATTGCTCCTGTGGAGTAACTCGTGATGGGGTTAGTGTGGGCCGTTTGCTGAACAGCGTTTGGAAAACGAAGGAGGTTTTGGCTAGCTGAGGATGACCCCATTTTCGTTTGGGTTAATGAGGGGGCATTTGTAGTTGTACAGGTAGTATTTTAGGGAGCCGTCGCCGGGTCCGAATTGGAGTTCTTGGAAGCATTCGAAGTTGTGGTTGAGGTCAAGTGCGTTGAAGACGTCGTATTTGAGGATGTTTGCGGCGATGATGGACTGTTCCAGGAGCTGTTTACGGGACATGGTAGTGCCGTTGCAGTAGTAGTTGTATGCAGCTTTGAGGAGGTCGTATTCTTGGTTGAATCGAAGAACCTTGGAGTTGAGTTCGTAGAAGGAGAAGAAGTCGGTGACTTTTCCTTCTGTTTCCTTGACGTAAGTATAAACGGCTCCTTGCTTGGTAAGGAGCCAGTGGCAGACGTCATCTTCGTTCAGTTCGGTATACAATTTGATCTTATCTTTGACGAATCCGTTGTTCAAAAGCTGGGTCACGGAAGCCACGTCCTTCTCCTCCATAGGTCTGATACCGGGAACGGTGAAGTGGTCCGGTAGTTGAGCCTTCTTCTTAGCTTCCTCGATGCTCTCACCCGCCCTCAAAGCACTAAATCCTATTGATACAAGTTTAGCAACATTCATCGAACGGTGGTAGTAACGACAGTCAGTAACAGGACGCGGTATGAAGATACCGGCGGTGTAGAGGGCGTGCCACACACCGTCAAGGTTGATCCGCCGAGTTAGCTCCTTTATTAAAATGGGGGCCAAACGTCGGGATCTTAGCTTCTTGTGCACACACAAAAAGTTGACTTCGCCACCTGCAATCCGGTTACCAAAGATATTGATCTTGACCGGAATACCCGAAATAAAAGCAACAAGTTTTCTCTGAGCCTTTCGTTCCCCAATGGCCGTCGCCTTGGTGTCCAGAGCTGGAGTTTTCACCATGGTCTTAATTCCTATAGTCCAGCTCCGCTTGCTGTCAGGCGGGAAAATTGCCCACTTTAATGACTCCATAGTATATTCGAACCGGAAGCAGGAAGCGTTGTCTTCCACGTAGTGCTTGGAAAGGAGTTCATAGATCTCTTGTAGGTCCTCCTCCCCCAGTTCCACCCATTCGAAGGTATCCGGTAGTGGTACCGGCGTTTTGCGAACTTCGTCTATGGACTTGGTTTCGATTACTCCACAGTCCTCAGGCAGTGCCTCACTGACAGACGGAACAGGCTGACTATCCCAAAAGCGATGCGGCTTGCCTACCTCCTCAGGAGGAATTTCGATAGGCAACGACTGCTTTGGACCTCCGCCCGTACTCGGATCCATTTTTAACTCGACGAAATTACCCGTCCGGTAATAAAACCAAATAAGGTCGCTCCCTCGGCCATCCTCAGCGGGTGGTTAATCTGAGCCTGCTGAGTGCTGAACCCAGCAGGAACTGCTTGTGGAATCGTGTTTGGGGCTGTGTGTATGGGAAATGTTGCTGTGTGTGGAATACATGAAAGATCGACTGGCGTAAAATACGTTCCAGAAAGGTCACCTGCTGGACTAAAAAATCTGCGAACTGAAGGCGAAGCCACCTGACACTTGGTCGGTGGGAAACACCTCGATCTCGCTAATACAAACAGAAGGTGGCAAGGAAGTTATATGCCGGATACATTCAGCTAAATCCTCGGGCAACAGCTCGGTATATTTGCACACGTTTCTTCCAATTGCACTCCCAGTTGCAGCGGTGCTACCGGGCAAGCTACCACTAGTATTCCCTCTAATGACGTGGGCAATCCGCACTCCAGAATGGATATATTGGTACCGTAACTTGATCACCATCTGGCGAAGGTAGGCCTCGCACGCAGCCTCCATTAGGTCGTTGCTGATTCCTACGAGGTATAGCAAAGACGAACCGGCCCGCATCCTCGGCAACAGAACCTGCGTCATTTTTTCACAGTCCATGAGCGCCGTGGTGCCTGACGTAGGCTGCTTCCCACTCGGACATACGAACTGAATCACGGCATTGAAATTCTCGATTGCAACCGAATCCAGTTCATCCATCACCACCCTTTCACACTTTGGGGCGACTACAGGTAACAAAAATGTGTCCCAACGGCAGCCCACAAGTGGTGCGGGTCGAACAGAGGTGGGGGTGGATATAACGTACCTGAGATGATGGAGTCGAGGATCCCTTGGGACTTGCAGCAGATGTACACCTTATCGTGCTGTTTTAAAAGTTCAACGGCGATCACAGGCAGGAAGGATTCCCCACCCTCCCCTGCTACACATATCATGGCCACCGTCATTTTGTAAGCCTCCTAAAAAAATACCTTCCCTTGCCACCGACCAAGCATTCCATCCGCACAACCCTCCCACAACACAATCTTCTTCCCACAGCTGCAGTTCTGGTGTTGGTTACGGTTTGGTAACTGTATCTTTCACCCCTCTCAAGTCAAGCTGGACACCACACACTCAGGTGCTTAAAAACCAAGGCGGGAATCCGGCTGACGTGTTTAGTGGCGAGGTGATCTTATGGATCCGGTTAACTCCCGCCGCTTTTTGTCGGCAAGCATTTAGGCTTCCACCGTCAGGTGCCAGTTGTGCTGAAGCGTCTATGTGGTTGACTGCGATTGCTAATTGCCGGTGCCTGGGTGGGTGGGTGTGTAGAGACGAGTGGAGTTGGTTTTCCACCTTCTGTTGACACACATAAGTGTTCCTGCCGATTTTGCAGGTCGAAAAAATACAACAGAACAAGCGGCTTAGCCAATAATGAGCGGCAAGGCTCCTATCCACCCCCCCAGTGGCTCTAAATCCGGCGGTCAGTCGATGACGGCTAAGGCCGGCCTGATCTTTCCTTGTGCGCGTGTTCGATCACACATGAAAGAAGTCTGCTTCGGGCAGCGAATTCGACCGGAAGCAGCGATTTGCTTAGCGGGCGTGTTGGAGTATCTTGTGGCTGAGGTATGTCCCTAATCCAACCGCCGACCCAATGTGCTACATGCTACACCGAACGGTTTTCTGCTGTGCTTATAACCTGTGTTTTCAGCTTCTGGAGGTGAGTGGAGAAGAGGCAAAGCGTCAGAACCGACAACGAATTACCCCGGCGCATTTACTGGACACTATTCGAAACGACGTGGACTTTAGTGAACTTGCCAAGAATATTACTCTTGCTCACACCGGCTCCAGTATCCGGAGTTCGAACCCTCCTGAGACTGCCTCGCACGTAGTTGCACAGGAAACCAGACCAGACGAGTGAACAAAGCTGTCACGCGTTTGGAGGTGTCACACAAGTGTGTATATATCCCACAAGTGTGTATATATCCCACAAGTGTGTAGATCTCGCACACGTGTCGTGGTGTGAAAAATAAGTGGGCCGGCTCGGCGCACAAAACAGTAACATAGATTACAGTTCATAGATAGCATTACTAATCGCGGGTAGATCAGACAGAGCACGGGTTGGCTAATTCACAAAACAGTGTGCTGCAGCAGATCGTGGGTTGAACGACGCGATTGGAAGTGGGTGCAAAAAGAGTCTGAAAAAATCGAAGCAAATGAGATCGGAGGGTCTTAGTCCGCAGATGGCGATGCCGGCTTCGTACGTGCTTCATCAGAAGAAGGTGTCGGGGCACCAAAGGGCCTACAGCAAGGAGAACCGGCGGTTCGAGAGTTACCCTCACTCGGCGCTGGGACTGGGTGGATCGGCACTGGGCGATTCGGAGGCGCTGTACATGGCGGATGCACAGCTGCCTCTGGGTGTCGTCGAGTACCCGGAGTACGGTCTGCCAGCACACTATTATCAGCCTGAGCCTCACGGCATGCACAGTCGCAGCCGCTCGCAACGTGGGCGCCCACTACTGGCGCAATCTCCCGGAGCCCGGTCCATCGGCCACGCGCGGATGGCAAGTGGCGCGGGTTCCATCTCGCCCTTCGCCACTCTCGGAGTCCCGACCCTCCCGACCGTGACCGTGATGACCTTTTGCCAGGATGTCTTCATCGAACGACATGGCGCACTACAACTGCTCTGCGTACTCAATAAAGTGCCTCTAAGGTAACGAACAAAACACCCGCCATGGACCCGAATCCGGACCTGGAAGTATAGGTATGTATGTATAGGTTGACTGTGTTGAAGTCTACCGACGACACTCGTCACATAGTGGACAGTTTGCAGATGCGGCCTGGCGGTTTGTTGACCCCTTCATACCCGGTATTACAGTTGGGACAACGGTGTTATGTATTGTATCTGGCATCTGCGCGCGTGTTGGCACGACACTTGGGTATGTATGGTGTGGATTTGGATGGTGACTACTACGCTGACGCGATCGCAGAGAGGTTGCAGCGATGGTTCGATTACCAGGACCGGGCGGTGGGTAATTTGAAGGGGCTACGATCAGCTCTTCGGCGGAAGGACAGAGGGGAGCGGGTTGCGCAGGATAGGAAACAACTGGCGGACTACCTGTCTCACCGGCCGTACCTGTACCAGGTGTTAGCCGAAATGCTCGGCTCCTGGAAACATTTATACAGACCCGATTGCCCATCTGCCAACTGGCTAGACCCACTCTTTGCCACACATCTCACTGACGACTTAATCATCGACTTGTTCCTCTGGCCACAACACCTCACATCTTGGACACGTACACAGGAACTTATACGAAGCGCCCAGGGCATAGATTCAAACCCCATAACCAGCAACCTACTTGACGTCGGACCCATCAACAATTCACCCACGAGTCTCAGCCAAGTGATTCCATACGAACACCGACTCACCGTCGACGCGCTGCTGAACGCATCCTACATCAAGTCACACTTCACCCAACTGGTTACTTACTTCCCAGACATCGGCCGCTTCCTGGCCTCGCGGATTCTCTGGGTTATGCGCGAATCATCAAACACTGCCAGCAGCACTCCTCAACCCAACTCTGTAGCCCCCACTGGCCCCCTTACCAGTTCACAGCTCCGACCCCAGCCTGGCGCCCAGACTGGCGCCCAGGCTGGCGCCCAGGCTGGCGTCCAGGCTGGCGTCCAGTCGAGCGATAAACTCGGCGCCCAGACGAACGAAAACGTTGGCACCCAGCCGGCAAGTAGCACGAGCTCCAGAGAAACAAAGCTTGCTAGCGCCCAAAGTGCCGAAGGCTGGACCGGCTGTGTGCAGGATCTGCGGCCCGAGACACAAGCCGCAAGAAAGGCTCCATGCTTGCAGCAATGGCCGTCAGATCCAGCACTGGCGCAACGGCAGTCTTACTAGATCGAGCATCCTGCGGGTCGGATGTCTCAGGAGATCGAACATCGATCTCCCAGAGGGGGCGAGAGTCCTCCACGGTGTGGGAGGAAGGATCCCGCTCGGGACCACGCTCCATGACCAAACGCCAGCAGCGGTGTGCATTCCGTTAGGTAGATAGATAGTCTTTACAAGTCTTTATGTGCCGGTTAAATGACAGGGGGTTGGAACGTGAGAAAATGGAGGGAAGGATAGCAGAGGAAGGGGGTCGATTTTACAAAAAAAGGATGATTACTAAGAGCGCAGTTGGTAGCTACCGACTACGTCTTGGTCAAGGCGTTCCTCTGACCGCACCTGCCAGGAACATGGGTAGTTCGAACGGTCGTGAAGAGGTCAGTCCGCACCCGGAAGACGTTTCACCGGCGGATGGATGTTTCATCACTCACGGGAGTTTACACGGAAGTAGAGCAACGAGGACTTGTAGGATTCGAAAGAAGAGGACCGTAAGGACCGGCGTGGCTGGAAGCGAAGCGCCACAGCAGTCTTCGGTAAGAGCACTGGTGTTAACAGGGAGGCGGATGGGGCAAGAAGAAAGTGGGATTGACCTGGGAACGAATCCCCGCTGGACCAGGATACGAAGGCTGGCTGGCTGGGGTACGAAGAATGGGACAAGTACTGGAGGGGGATGCTAGTGATTCTGCGGATATAACCGTTCTGGGGTTATATCCTGGGGCCCGGGGTGTGAGATAAAATTTTACTTTGTTCTCTCAGCTACGATGGCAGGAGTCCGGCATCTGCTGCCGGAGACGACCAGCTCTTCTAAGCGGTCGGGCTCAGTGGAGTCCTTTCGCGAGGAAGACGCCAAGGTGGTAGAAACGAAGGCTGTAGAGGGTAAGGAGGACTCCACAGGCAGCAATGCCCTTGAAGGCGCCGTTCTCTTCACCGGTAAGTCACCTCTCTCGGTCGGTTGTCTCACATGTGTCGTCGCGCGTGTGTGCACCTGTTTGGTACACGAGACACCACACGCGTGTGGTACACGAGACAGCACACGTGTGGTACAACAATCGGACACGGGCATTCTTCCCATGGGAATTCTGCACCACGATCCTGCCCACCGGAAGTCTTTAAACGGGACTTCCGCCGAGGGGTAATGTCTGTTATGCAGGGTCGTCGAATCGTGAGCTTGCTGAGAAGATTGCATTTTCTTTGGGTATCCCTCTAGGTCGTTTGAAATTGTCCCGTTTTGCGGACGGCGAAATTTCGTTGCAGTTCCTGGATTCGTTGCGGGGTCGTGACGTGTACATTGTGCAGCCAACTTCTCCACCGGTCAATGAGAACTTGATGGAGTTGTTGCTGATGATTTCGACATGTCGACGTAGTAGCGCGAAGAAGATTACAGCGGTGGTTCCTTACTACGGATATGCTCGCCAGGATCGGAAGTTGTCGAGTCGAGTGCCGATATCTGCGGCAGATGTGGCGCGTATGATTGAGGCGATGGGTGTGGACCGAGTGATCAGCGTGGACTTGCACTGTGGCCAGATACAGGGTTTCTTCGGGCCTCGCGTACCGGTGGATAACCTGGAGGCTCAGAAGGTTGGCTTGCAGTACTTTAGAAACAAGAAGCTCGAAAACCCCGTCGTCGTCTCGCCGGACGCTGGTGGTGTGTATAGAGCCCGGAAGTTCCAAGAGGGGTTCACCGCGCTGACAGGCAAGAAAGACACCGGCCTTGCTATGCTCATCAAACAACGCAAGGCCGCGAACGAGATTGAATCCATGCAACTGGTCGGCAGTGTACGCAACTGCGACGTCGTCATCGTGGACGACATGGTCGACACCGCCGGCACTCTCTGCGAAGCCGCCAAGATGCTCAGGGCTGAGGGAGCCAGGCGAATCTTCGCTTTCGCCACCCACGGCCTCTTTAGCGGCCCCGCTTTGGACCGCATTGGAAAGTCCGTGCTTGAAGAGATCGTCGTTTCCGACTCCATCAAGCAACCCAACGCTATCAACAACTGCTCCAAGATCATTCAGCTCTCCATCGGTCAACTCCTTGCTGACGCCATCTACCACGTACACACCAAAGAATCGCTCCACAACGTCTTCTTCGACGTCTCCGAGCACCACCACACCCACTGAATCAGGTCAGCCGGACGCATGTAGCGCGCAGACGAAGCCCCAACCGCGCTGCCGTCGCTAACCACCCATATAAAACGTCCCGCCGGACAACGTCCCGCCATATTGCGTTCGCTGTATAGCGTCCCGCTTTGCAATGGCTATGCGAAAATGCGCCACGCACACGTGTGTGCTACCAAGAATGCGCATCAACTAGGCACGTGTCGCTAAAACCGGCGTCAGCTGGGCGAGCGTGCATCAATTAAGCGAAGACTTGACAATGATTTGAGGAAGAACAAAAAGTTTGACGAAGCTGCTGCACCATCCATGGCCGTCTGGGTCCTATTTTTTGGCAGCGACCGCTTTTAGTATCTCCTGTTTTGTGGCGGGAGCTGCGGGGGCTGGGGCGCAGCAACAGTCAACCACGCGTTGAAGAAAGTTGCTACCATAGACCCCCCAGTTAGACATCGTCCGCTGGATGGTCAGCCCCATGGGACTCCCAGAGTACCTCTTCTGGCGCACTCTGGTATCGTGGGCATCCGATAACATGGTGCGCTAAAAATATGCACCAAGCTTCTCGCGCTACCCCTCCGGACGTCAAATTCACCGCCCATTGCACCCATTAAAATGCCGAATGAGTATGGAAATCTTACACTGTCTGCCTATACGGTGAACATAAAACTAGAGATAGTCTCCTTGGTAAAAAATGGTTTTTGATAATCTCTTCTCTCTTCTCCGTCCCTTACCGATCTCGGATTTTCTGCATCTCATTCTTCTGGTCAGCTGCATCGTCCCAGCCACATCGCCCGACAGTGGTGTCAGCAGCTGTCGTTAGATTCTGTTGCTGGACGAACAATAGGCACCTCGCGGGTAGTACTGGCATGGTACTATTTGAGTCACGGATAATTAAGATAACTTTGGTTCACGGAGCGAGTGTGCCGGCGGGTGCACACACCTGAGAAGTTCTTTAGCAGCAGCAGAACTTCCTCCGCTGGGCCTTCTTGTGAGCCGCACGGTAGTTGGAGGAGCTTGAGGAGCTTGACGTATTGTCCTCAACACCTCTGGGTTGCTGCATGACAATAGGAGGGACGGCTTGGAGCTGAGAATTGGTCATGAACACCGGGTCAGCTTCGTAGGTGCGGACTTGATAAGTATCATACAATGGCTTCATGTTACCCCGGAGCGACTCTCCAGGAGCAACGAATCGGCATCCCTGAGGGGCGTACAAGGTAGCATCGACAGTATTGTAGCTAGGCTGCTGCATTTTCGACCGAAAAAAATTCCTCTGTATTTATAATTTGGCAATTACTCCTGGGGGTAGGGGGGCGACGCCTTGCCGCCGTCTGTACCAGAGTCTGCGTTCTCGCCGCCTGAACCTGAACTGACTACCTGTGGGCTGGACAGGTCAACTGGACGGGTCAATTCGCTGCAAAGGAGGGGTTGTGTTAGACTAAAAAATAACTCCATCCTTGGAGACGGATATCTGCAGTAGGTTGTCTACATAGATGCCTACATGGCGAACTAGCAGCAAGTGCGGGCCTTGTTGGCAGGTCTTCCGCGAACGGCGGAGAGTGTAGTGTAGCCTTCCGAGGTCGATGGATCGGCAATGTTCACGAGTCCCGAATTCTGACTAGGCAGCGATTCCCGTATTACACGGCCAACAACTGGTTCATCCCCATGCGGATGATTGGCATGGCTGGGTGTGAATTCCGGATGTGGGTAGGAGAGGGTATACAAGTCGTGGGAGCCCGAAGGAGTTCCGCGAGGCACTACTTGCATATCACTCATGTGACTGGCTGCGTGATCGCTGACCTGGCCGTAGTAATCGTCCCGCTGGGAGATAGCCTGAGAACCCGTCTGCTGGGGGGTATAACCCGTAGGGACGTGCTGTTGACCATAGTTGCCGGTATGTTGACCGTAGTTACCGGCCTGGTTGTGACTCGCCCCTTGATTGTAAGCGCCACTTTGGTTGTAATTAGCCACTGGGCTACTAGCCTCCAAGGGCTGGCTGTGACTAACCACTTGGCTGTAATTAGCCGTCTGGTTATAATTACCGGTTGGGCTATAAGTACCGGCCTGGTTATAGTCTGCCTGATTATAATTTGCACCCTCCGATTGAACCGGTGTGACCGTCGGAATGACCGCGCCACGGCTCCGACGGACCATCGGGGAGTGCCCTCCTCGGGTCAACGCAGTTCCGTTGGCTACGGCCGAGGGAGAAACAAAAGTGTTTGGGGAGAGGCAGTTGCCAGACTGGATGGCAACCGGTGGGACGGCGAAGCTGCTTGCGGCCGGTGGCAGTGCGGAAGAGCGTTGGGTGCCGTAAGACGTAATAGCAGCAGCCGGTCCCTTCTTCTTCTTCATGCCGTGAACAGGGCACCCGTCCCCCTTCCGGTTCCCCGATTGAATGGTGACAAGATCTTCAACAAAGCAAGGAACTGACCGGGGATTGTAGGTGGTTGCTACTCGGTGGCGAGTAACTTCTTCCGCGGGCACGAAAGTTGTATTGACTGGCACATATTGCAGCGTAGGGTTCGGACGGCTGGCGGAGCGCGCATAATTCGGTTCGCACACACGTGCGGAACCGGTATTCATTGCTGCGTTACTGAATGCCGCTGCGTTATTGAAAGCTGGACTCATCTGATTTAAAAAAAAGTGGGAGGGATGAGTCGAACAGCAATACACGTACAATTATCGGGTCTCTGCCCCCCCTTAACTCGGCGATCCCGGGCGGCAGCGGTCACTGCGGCCGCAAACCGCTCCATGTCCGCCGCGCACTTTAGCATCTCGATCAGACAAGTGGAGCTGAATACATCCGTTACGCCGTCAGAGAGAAGCAAGAGAAAGAGGTCGGCGGGGATTACTGCTGATTTGCGGCCGTTAGCTCTGAACCAGGATCGGATCCCTGCGCTCCCGGCGGCGGTGGAAGGCGCCGTGGGCGGCAGTGCGCAAAAGAGCGCCGGGTCTCCACCAGGTGGTCGACAGCCTTCGTGAGACGCTGCCCTGTACCCGGCGCTGCCGCGCTGGCCGTCGTTGCTCCGCGTTCCATCGCTCGTCACTGGTCGACCGACGTCCAGTTCCGTTCCCCGACCGCGACCCTCCCTGCCGCGCGTCGTTTCTTGTTCCCGGGCCGGCGCACCAGTCGCCAGTGCACTAGTCGCCAGTGCACTAGTCGCCAGCGCACTAGTCGCCAGCGCGCAAGTCGCCAGCGCACTAGTCGCCAAGTTCCTCTCCGCGCCGCCGTGTTGATCATCACAATCATTGCGTGGAACCTCGTAGTCATTACGTTCAGCATCACAGTCATTGCGTGGAGCATTGTGTAGGGCATCATTGTGTTTGGCGCCGTCTTGTTTACCGCCGTGTAGTTGTTTTGGTTTCTGTTTGCCTCCGCCGTGTTTCGTCTGGTCGTGTTTGCTATTGGTGCGTGCTTTAAATCCGTACGCATTGGCGAGAGCTTTGCAGGCATTAATGTCTAAGGGGGGCAGTCTATAAATGGATCGATTTGAGTTCGAATGGGTAACTTTATCTCTGGATTCCTTTAGCAGTTTGGGTAGTGTACCGAGGGTAAGGAAGGTGAAGTCGGGTCTGACGGAGAGGCCTCGTTCTTTGAATAACACATGACCGATGGAGCGCGCCATGTTAATGCTGAGGCCCGACTTCTTAGCGCAGGTATAGGTCATTTCCGCGGGTATAAGACGCAAAATTCCACCATCTCCGATAATAATACGTCCCTTACCCTCCTTCTTAATTCGGCTTATTTCGCCCTCTTCCGTCAAATGATGTCGTCGGCATAACTCCACGATCATCGGAGCTGCGCCCGCCAGCTTCGGCAACGCCACCAACAAGGCACTTGAATCGCCACATGAACTCGAGATCAAGACATCATTCACCAACGTCACCGATACTAAAGTCGTTCCGAAGTCCTTGTGCAACTCATCATTCAAACGCTCCACCTCCGCCTGTGCCTCCGCTACCGCCCCACTCAATAACTCCATCATACGAGTCATCAACAACGGCGGACTTCCTGACCGAGATGCTGATTGCGCAATCGGCTTCTCTAACCGCAGAAACGGAACCGTTCCCTCCGACCTAGGAACCAACATGGACTTGTCGGGAAGGCCGTTCTCTGGACCACCGTTCTCTGGACCACCGTTCTCCGGCCCACCATTCTCTGTGCGACCATTCTCTGTCCGACCGTTCTCTGGGCGACCGTTCTCTGGGCGACCATTCTCTGTCCGACCGTTCTCTGGGTGACCATTCTCTTTCCCACAACCAACCTCATGGACGAGACGCACGTGTGCTTCGTGGAACGCTCGTTCTACCGCCGCGCTTGCATGCCGACCACCCACGCCATGTCCGTCCAACACTGTGAACGTGATCGCATCCGCGCAAAGTTGGCCCCGGGAGGGTCTTTGCGCGGCTGGCACTGCCCGCGCTGCCGGGTGCATTTTGCCCACGGGCTTCCCCACTAAGTCTTCGCCGTCAAGACACTGCGTCGCAATTGAACCACTTGCACGCAATAAATTGCGCAACACGTTCCCACTGGCAGGCCCACTCACCCGGGCCACCTTCTTGCACTCATTGATCCCGCCACCCGAGTCGCCGCCGGACAACGATGGAGGCGTGTGCAACAAGTGTGCTGCATGCGGACACACACGCATAGGCGGAGGCGGAGGAGTCCCCGCCGGGTCGCGACACCCAGTCGGGCCGTCATTAAGCACATTGGCGGAAGGGGCAACGCTCGGCGCATTGTAATCCGTTTTTGGATTGGTTTCTTCGACCGCGTTGACGGCCGCTATACTTGGTCTTGGCTGGACATTTTCGTCGTAGCCCATTCCCTCGCATCCCATTCGCTCGTAGTCCATTCGGTCGTCATCCATTCGGCGGTGCCCCAGGGGGACGTGCCCCAGGGGGACGTGCCCCAAAGGACCGTGGTGAGTGACGATGGTGCAGGTGGGGTGTTCGTGGCTCCAGGAAAGCGAGGAGATCAACTTGTCGTTTCGTAAGATCATGCCTTTACGTTTGCCAGGCCAGGCCTGTCCGGTTAGAACGTTGACGCTCCAACCGTCCTGGTTTTCACGACTGGACGTTTGCAGACAAGAGGCACCCCAAGCCACAGCACGGACGTATCGACAGCCGTTGACGTCGCCGTCGAACAAAGTCCCGCGGTCGGGGCCAGTAACGACGCCGGCCGCCTGGGAGGAGGTGCTCGCGGACGCCCTCATTTCATTTGAATCTCTCCACTGAGACGTCACCAATATGTTCTCTACACTCTACACAGGGTCCTCTACACAGGGTCCTCTACACAGGGTCCTCTAATACAGATCCTTTAGACAGATCCTCTACACAAGTCCTCAGAAGCACTCAAACAAGTGGCCTACAAGCAGGGTGCTTACAAGCAAGGTTCCCACAACTCCCAACAGGTATCGATATATATATATACACGCTGAGAGAGACACACTTATTGCCGCTCAAACACCACTTCCGTTCCGGTCGTTCTGGCCCGTTTTGCGTCGTTCAGGGCCGTTCTGGGTCGTTTAAGGCCGCGCTGGGTCGTTTAGGGAAAACTGAGGGTGGTCAAAAATTCAAACTGTTCTTTGCTCTCGACGGAGAGGAAACGCTGCTCTTTGGCGATGGCTACGCTCTCAAACACCAGCTGCATCAAGGAGGGTGTCTGCACCGTGGTGGCCTCAGCTGCTGTCATAACGGCCGCGGCTGCGTCGACCCATCTGCCGATTGGGCGATAGAGCGGCTCCTCCTCCTCCCTGCTGGTAGAAATATCGTTAGACCGGGACGGGGGATTGGTCGACGCCCGATTGGTCGGCGCCCGATTGGTCGGCGTCCACTTGTTTGCGAGTTCAGCTTTCCGGATCAGGTGGCACCGGAGTGCAGAAATGAGGGTGCCAGTTCTTCCGACGCCGGCACTGCAGTGCACGATTACTCGGGGTTTCTCAGCACAGCAGAAGGGCGCCACGTCTCGTACGAGCGCCTTGAACTTCTTCGGGTCGGGAGTGGTGTGATCAAGCCAGTCGTCATAATGTAGCTGTATCACCGCTCTTCGTTTAAGCTTGCCGTCCAGATTGTGACAAGTAACCCGTAGATGCCTCTCTACACCCACGACAGCATCCAATTCCCTAACCTTCTCGATCGTGCACTCAGAAGACTTGTACCCGTTCCAATATGGTTCCATCTTGCGACGCTCGCCTTCTGCT